TGATTATATTTCAGATAGTTTGTTCAAAGGAAACATTGATAAGGTATCTATTTGTTATATTTTGACAAAATGCAATTTTTCTAAGTGTTTTAATCAAAATACTATATTTACCTATTTCTCCATATACCATTTTTAGACTTAATACTCGTTTTGATGTGATGGGTCACATGTTATCAATAGATTACTTTAAACTGTGATGTTGGTGAAAGGGTTAATCTCACCCCGCGGTGCAGCGCTGTCCGGCCCCAGCGGTCCTGAGTCTCCACACAGGCTCCCTGACTGAGCAAAGAGTACACACACTCTGTGTGTCCGCTCAGCACTGCCAGCATCAGAGGAGTCCTGAGCACAAATACGACCCAAAGATGGATTTATGTTTCTGATAATATCACTCAGATATATTTMCACATTAAAATCAACTCTACAGCACACACTCACTGTCCGTTGGAGTCTTGTGCGTCCACGTTGATGTGTTGGTTGTTGTGGCTCAGAAGCAGGTGAAGGCACTCTGGGTGGCCATTCATAGCTGCAGCAGACAAACGCCTGAGTTAGTGTTTTTTTCTGTAGAATTGCACGTCTACGCGTTCAAAAATGCCACTGCCCTTGGTTGGGCACGCACCTGCAGCGTGTAAAGCCGTCTTTTTGTGGATATAGTCACGGGCCATTGGRGAGGCGCTGTGATGCAGCAGCAGGGACGCACATTCCTGATGCCCCCTTGAGCACGCCAGGCTGAGGGGGGTGCGTCCGTCTGGGCTGCGCACGTCTACATCCAACAGGGACGACAAGAGGACCTCTAATGCTCCACAGTGTCCGTGGTAAGCCTGGATAAACAAAAACCATGTAAAACAAACCTTCTTTTAACCCGGGGAAAAATTAATTTAAAAAAATTATCAACCAGGCATTTTTTCCTAAGGAACACTGATGGTCATAAAGGGTTAAATGATGGTAAAATCCAATCGAATATGAAACAGTTACATCCTGAACGTGAGGAACAAAAAGTCAAATAAAAGCAGGCGTTCAGATCTTCAAACTCACCGCCAGGTGGAGTGGACTGAGTGAGGCCTGGCTCTCTGAGTCTCTCAGGATGTCTGTCCCTGAGGTCTCCAGTAGCTGAAACAAAGACACACAGTACCCATGTTGGATCAAGATTTTTGCACGGGGCCATTGGCTCCATTAAGACATTAAACCACAGCCACTGCTCCAAGAGCTTTAAATTTGGTTCAGGCGATGAAGAGCAGGTGCGCAGCAGATTAAAAAAGTATTCATGCTAATATTAGCAAACAGGGACATTGTAGCTTCACTATTACAATCCAACAGAAAGAGCTACTAACTGCAGAAGCTAAAAGGTTTACTAAAATTTCTTACCACGTCAAGAGGTCGCACACTTGCAATCTGAAAGAAACAGTTTTGGAGATTTTGGGACACTTGTTAGCAGATAATTAAAAACAGAATCATAGAGTGTAAAAGCTGAACTCACCAGCTCCAGGCAGAGCATGCGTCCGTAGGCCGAGGCRTAGTGCACTGCACTGTAACCCTGTTTGTCTCTCACTCCTGGATCAGCATCGTTCCTCAACAGGTACTCCACACATCTGACAACCAAAACGTACTCTGTTTGTCTTTCTTTTAACACCAAAGTAAGTCTGAAATAAAGAGGAACTCACTTTCCGTCTGTGTCGGCTGCAGCAGCGTAGTGTAAGGGACTGCAGCCTCTCTGGTCCAACTCATTAACACTTGCCCCGGAGCCCACCAATGCAAACACACACTGGTAGTTACAGTTGGCGGATGCATAGTGCAGTGGAGCCCTGGAAGAAAAACAGCTTCTGTTAAAGACTGCTGTTCAAACAGCTGCAGTTATTACAGTTTTTGACCTTTGAGCTCACCTCCCAAAGTTATCCTTCCTGTTAAAGTCGGCTCCTATGTTTAACAGCAAGTTCAGACACTCCAGGTTCCTGTTTGGAGAGCAAATGTTGAAAACAAAAACACTAGAGTGTCGTGTTTTAATTAAGAGTCAAAATATTTCAGAACACAAAGCGAGAAATATGATCATAAAATGACAGTGTGCAACACAATAAAAGCAAACACTCACCCTCCAGCTGCAGCAGCATGAAGACAGGTCCTTCCAAAGTCATCAGGGGTGTCTATGACAAACCCTGCACAAAAATTCAATCAACGTCAATTTAGATGTCAAGCAGCTGTGTCCACAGGAAACCTGGTGTCAGCGTGAATGTACCTGAGGACAGCAGCTTCCTGCAACAATCTGCGAAGCCGCTGAGAGCTGCCAGGTGTAGCGGCAACATCCCATGAATGCCTCTCCTTTAAAGGCAAAGACAAGCCGTTACAGGCTGCAAGGTTACGACTGAGAGCTTTAAAAACACGTTAACTATTTATTTATATATTTCATGAAAAGAGAGAAAACACACAGGCGGTTAAATGTCACTGACTTGACAGTGTTGGCTCCGTGTTTGATGAGTGCTGTGATGATGAGCTCGTGGCCGTAGCGGGCAGCAATGTGAAGGGCAGTGTTTCTGCTTTTATCTTCACAGTCGATGTCAGCTCCTGCACACACACACACACACACACACACACACACACAAATATATAAACAAAATATTATTTCTACAAAAAGCATGAGAATTCTAAAATCTAAAAAGCTTTCAATGGAACGTGCAGAGCACAGCCCGTTCTCTAATATCCAAACTTAAATCAAACCATGCAACAGAAAGCACTCTGGAAAAGGAGGGGGTCACACCGTTCTGAATGAGGGTCTGGGAGCAGGAGAACCTCCCATGTGTAGCTGCCATATGAAGGGGCGTCTTCCCATCCTTACTCTGAACGAACAGATCAGACAGAGGAGATCGTAAAAAAACAAAAACAATTATTATTTGTAAGTCAAAAGCTGATCAAATGTAAATAACAGTCAGAATTTTAACATGAACAAATATTAAAGATAGACCCCCTTGTGGACAAACATAATCCCCGAGCAGCTTGCTGCCTCAGGGAGTCCCTCCCTCCCCTCTAAAGTCCATATGGTCTTGCATCTTGAGGCTGTGGAAAGCCTAATATCAGTTTCCATCACACCCACCAAAGTGTTAAACAAACTGATGTCAGCTGTCAGATAAATCCTGAGATCCAGATTCATAACAGCTGAGACACGATGAAAGGTGTTTTTGTTTTTTTTACACCATCCCCGAAATCAATCTCTGCTTCTCAGGTGAATTTAAGCCACACCTTCAAGTTGATGTGTGCTCCATGGGCCAACAGCAACTCCTGGCACAGCGCACCTTGGCGTGAGGAAGAGGCAAAGTGAAGAGGAGAAAAACCCCTCTCATTCACCTCAAGAGAGAAACCAAATAAATTAGAAACAAACGTGCATCAAAGCGGCCGTGGACAATTAGTGATGAACTCACTTGGTTGATGTTGGCTCCTGCTTCGATGAGCTCACCCACCACCACGTCTTGTCCGTTATAACAAGCTAAATGGAGAGGTGTGTTCCCATAGGCATTAACCTCATTCACCTGCGCAGAGAGGAATAACCTCATTTTTTCTTTGAAAAACACATTAAAATGTGTTTATATATGAAATTTAGTTAAGTTCTTACATTATCTAAGTTAAAAAAACATGCAGTTCATTTTTAAGGAGACATATCCTGTATTTAAATGCTTTTTAACATTTAAATCATTCATTGGGGTCTATATAAAGAGGAACTGCAATGCTTTGGTCTGAATTCCTCCTTATTGTCACTCCACAAGCCCCTCTTTCACCCTTTTCTGAGGTGTGTCTCAGATCAGTTTGTTCTGTACRTGTTGTCAGTACTGACATGGACACCCAGGGTTAGCAGGTAGTGGACTGTGCTGCTCATCCCACTGGAGGCGGCTGCATGAAGCGGTGTGTAGGCCTTCTTGTCCTTACAGTCGATCTCTGCTCCACTGGCAACCAGTAACTTCACAACTTCCAGATGACCTGATTCAAAATAAAGAAAATTTTAATTAAGACAAACTGCCTCATCCAAATAAGTGAATATTTTCTTCCATCGATACGATTCTATATTAAAGCAACCTCACCCATGTAGGCTGCCCAGTGGATGGCTCTCCTATCCTTCTTGTCAAATGCATTAATGTTGGCCCCTCTGGACAGCAGCAACTTCACCATCTAACATTGATCACTTGAATTAAAGGAGCACTGATGCACAAAATCCTCTTTCAGCCAAGTTAGGAAATCCTGAATATTTATACTTTCTGTTACATAATTATTATCAGCTCTGTACTGACCTGACTGTTTGAGATTATGTTAAACAAATCTAGTTTAACACCAGAAACACAGTGATAAAACGTTAGAGGAAAGGAAATAACTTTTAAAACAGTTCAAGTTAACACTGTTCTGGGTGATCCTGAGATCAGTTGATAATTTGAAGACAGTGTTGGATTTGAGTATAAAAGGTGCACCTAGTGAAGCCTTAGGTCTTTATTTTACAAATCACAAACCAGAAATATAAGCTCGTGCTGTTTTTATGCAAAGAGCAACTCTGCTCTGAAAAAAATAAAATAAAACAGTTTTCAGGAAGAAAGCTCATGTACGACAGAATGAACGACAGCTGACATCCATTTTGTTGTCAAATCTATATTTTGCCTGCTTAAAAACTGCATTTTGGTGCTTTTGTACTTCAGTATTAAATAATGTTAAAATGTCCAATCTTCACGATTTTTTAGAATGAAAAAAAAAGTGTGTTTTGTCCATCTGTGCATTTAAGAAGAATGAACCAACCTCTACATGTCCACTGAAGGCAGCGTGGTGCAGGGCGGTGCGTCCCGCCCGGTCAGATACGTTSACGTTGCTTAGAAGTGGGGCCAAAGCCTCGGCACAGCGAACGGCCTTGTTGCTTGCTGCTACGTGCAGCGGCGTCTGCCAGTTTTTGTCCCGAGCGTTTACGTCCGCACTGTGCTTTAATAACACTGCCACTGCATCCTGAACAGAAAGTAAGCATGGGTTAGAGTTTGCAGACAGAGTTCACTGCAGAACAGTCCTACTTGCTCTAACAAAGCCCATGCCAGGGTTTGCAGGTGGCTACATGGGTGCCTAGAATTGTTTTGCTATTCTTAGAGAGCCGTCGTGCTGAAAATAGACCTAAGAAAGTAAAAGAAACATGAGTGGCTCTGTTAGTTTGGGCACAATGCCCAGGAAGAACAATACATGAACAGATGTTGATGGTTTATTAAAAATACTACAAAAGATCCCACTCATTTTAATATCTGAGTGTGCTTTATAATCTAATAGGATTAGAAAAAGAGATGATTTTTTTTAAATAAATGATGACTTCTCTAAAGCATGAAGCTCAAAGTAAAACATGGGACATTTCCACATTTTGTATCTTGTCTCAAAAAGGGAATAACAAAAAATAAATAAATAAAGCACGTTACCTCACTACAGGAAGCCACAGCTCGGTGAAGAGGAGTCAACCACTTGTTATCTTTGGCATTAACTCGAGCTCCTAGAATAAAATAGGAGAAAAGATCAAATAAAATCAGACGTGTCAACAACACCAGACACTTTCTCATTCATTTCATTTTATTTATGGCTTCTATCTGTGTCTGAAAAACCCGACTTTCAAATACCCAGAAATCCTTACTGGTCTAAAAATTTATTAAAGACAAACACAGATACAAAACTAAAAGAAACAACATTTATACAAATATAAATTACATCTGCAAAGATTTACACATGACTTACAGGCAAAGGTAAGTCGACAGTGCCTGGAACACACCAACTTTTTTCTAACCATTTTCGGCGTAGCTTGGATGTTAAAATAGCCCAGAGGATGCACCTGTTGCTCACTCTTCCAAGCACTAAAAGACACTCAACACTTTCTCACACATGAACATACGCAATCACTCCGACCTACTCATGTGTTAYGCCACTTTAAGCCCCTCTTCGTTATGAGCTTTTTAAGAGCATCAACATACCCAGATTAAATAACTGATGAGTAAAAAAWCGTCACCAACTGGTGACGAGCAGGTTGCAGAAGTGACCATAGTGAACATAAAGAAAAATATTATATTACTTAATGCTTAGAATATGTGTTGGGAATGACTCTCAGCTGCTGCTGCAGCAAACTGTAACACAATTTATCTAAAAATCATTGAGGTACAGRCATTCCTGTGTATGCTAAGGTCACTTAGCTCTGTTGAATTTGATTGACTCCAAAATCTAATTAGACCCAAAAATAAAACTCATCAGTTTAAAAATATATTCAACATAATTCAGGGCGATACGTAAAAAAAACAAAAGGTGAAAGATATAAATTGTAAATTGATAGCTGAGGTGCATTGATTGATTCGAGCTAGAACTGTTTACCTGAAAGGATGAGCAGCTCAATAATCTCAGCGTCTCCCAGGTATGCTGCAGCATGAAGCGGCGTTCGCTTCTCGTTGTCCTGTGAGGACATTACGACACAAAGTGACAACTTAAAACATGACCCTCCTTTGTTTTTGTACCAACACACATCGTTCATCATGAGAGCAAAATCTATAGGATTTACTGCTGCAGACCACAGGAAACACGAGAGCAGAGCCTTACGGAGACAAACATCTTTAGTCTCCTCAGTTTTAGTCTTCATTTCACTCCATCACGTCAGCACACCCTGCTGCATCACCCTCACCTCTCTGTTTCAGCACAGCAGTGAGCAATCAGCAAAGTGGGGCTATAAACAAATGTCATGTGACTGCAAGAAGCCTGGGCCAGTGCTGCTGACTCCAGGGAGACTCGGTGTGATGACCCCAGCAATACTGACCCACGGAGATACAGAAGCACAGCGAAGAACAATGGATGGAACAGAATGAGGTAGARGCTCAGAAGATGTTTGCATGAAGGGAGAAAAGGCAAGTCAGGGGTTAGGGTTAAAGTTTATGCMCTTTAACATTTGAGAAGCTGGAGTAATAAATCTGCTCGTGTGTTCTGCCTGAATAAGATCAACCAGAACACAACCAGTCATCTTAACTCAATGTGCTTCTTGTTGCTTATGAGCCATGCTGTGCACGAGTGATACATGACAAAAGCAAAAGGATGCCATCAGAACAACCAATAAAACACTGAGAAACACAAAGCAAGAAAAGTTTGAATTACCTGAATGTTGACATCCTCTTTCTTGAATATAAGAGAGCGAACTTCATCTGGGTCCACATTAAAGATAGCTCTTAGCAGAGATGGCTTCAGAGACACATAAAAACATATTTGAATTAAAAGGCCATCTTTTCTTTATGAAGACAGCAATCAGTCATAATTATGAGAGTTACAGATGGGACAGTTCCCACTCAGAGGCTCTAATCCCAGGCTGGGATGGAGCCACAGGCCACACATGGCTGTATATCACCTCTTTGTTTGTCAAAGCTGGAGCTGCAGGATGCAGCACGTATGCATTATGCACAGAAATGTTTGAGCTGGTCTGTGATGGGGTTAAAGCTGAACTCTGCCACGTAACACATAAGCAAAATGTGTTTAACATAGAAAGATAATCATTTTATTAACTCAGAAGATTCTGGAGAAAATGTGCAAGTTCTTGATAAACACTCTGAACACACATCACTCAGTATTACTTTGGTTTTTACTGTGTTCTTGTGTCGAAATATAAATACCTGGTCTGAGATCAGTACTGCCTGGTAATACGAGGAATGAGTAAAATAGTTGTTAAGACTCCTTTAAAACATGTCAGTGGAAAAAATAAAGACTTATTGAAATAAAATAAAGGAAGTAAAACTATTTTAGGCTAATTTAACTATAAACACTGGTTATAAAATACAGTGGTTGTTCTGGAATTTAGTTTGATGTTACTAGTCTTAAGTAAAAACATTTCTAATCTTTAAATACTGGAGTTACAAATAAAACTAAAACTGAACATTTGCCTTCTCTTTTGTAGTTTAACTTTATCTTAAAAATGCAATTATTGCATTTTAAAAGTAGTCTTAAATCTCTAACACATTTTAAAATTACTTCAACAGAATGTAAACAAAAAACACCACATGCATGGGTAATTTGTTACTTTAAACTACAATTATAAATGGATATTTGCCTGTAAAACTCTTAGCTTCACTGCATGAATAAATATGTTGGGAAACAAATGATTGTTTAAAATATATTGTAACTGTTATCCATTTTGAATAGACTGAGACAATATAGAAA